CATGATCATGCTTTTAACCAAACCAGGAACTCATACAACTCAAACCAAGCAAAATCAGAACAAAACCAGGCACACCGAAAAAAACACCATGGAAAAGGTGTACATCTTTTTGTTAAGCTTCTCCTTCCCCGTGGTATCGGTTGTGCATCCCTGTCATTTGCCCTGGGCCACTTCTGGTACATCCTCATCGCATGGCAAGCTGAACCAATTCAATCAAATGGAAGGGGAAATCAAAAAGATTTCTTTTTTTCTGAACTGAGCTGAACTAACTGGTATTTCAATCAGACAAGCAATATATCTGGCACAATACAGGGTGGCAGAAGCAAGGAAACCGAGGAGGAGGAGGAGGAATTGAGAAGATCAATGAGATAGGATAACACCTAAGGACGAGATGGTGACAAACTGTTAGTTCAGCTCAGCTGTATCACGAAACCATACCCTCAGCATCTTGAGAAACCTAAATCCATTTTTTTATGAATAAAGTTGCCTTGGATCTCAAAGCCAAGTGAAACACCTGACTGTCTGGCCATCGATGAAATGGGGGTAATAGGTACCTATATCATCTAGTCATACTTAATCTGAATACATCTTTACCAAAGGATGTTTCAAGAGCACAGAGAAGTGTTTGGAAAAAAAAAAAGGGACTCATAAAATCAAACCAAGCAACCCTCAACCAGAAAGCAAAGTCCCTACTCCCCAGACAAACTGAAATATTTTCAACTGATGAATTATTAATTTTGTTTAGAGCAGAATTTACAGTTATTTTAATTTAATCTTTAAATAAAGCATAAACTTCGAAAACAACACTCAACTCCCCCTCCCCTCCTAGTCTTTAACGGTACTCAACAAAAATGCCTGAAAACGGGTACATAGTCATTGACTCTGCTGCCAATCTTAGATGTTTTTTTTTCCTGAAAATGAAGATAAACCTCAAATCCGACATTTGATTAGAGGAGAAGCACGAATCACTTAAAAAAAAAAAAAAAAAAGATAGACAAGACAACACGGCTTTATTAAAAAACAGAAAACCCTAAGGGAATTTTCAATTTCGTAGTTCTCATGAGAGGGGTTGAAAAGAAGAAGTAGAGCCGAGAAAAGAAAAAGAGAAAAAAACTATCTTTGGGACAATATGTAACAAAGAAGAACACGAAACTGAAGCAGAAACAGACTTTCAAAATTTAACCTCAGGTTTTCACAGAAAGGACTACTGTAGTCTCAGCTCTGTTCCCAAAGGAGGGTAAGCCACACGACAACATCACCACGCAGGAAACTCAGCATATTTCATGAGCAGGAGGCTCAAGAAGAGAACAGGTCAAGGTTGGTATCACTAGCACAGCAGCAAGAGGGAGCTTGCACTGCAGTTGTCTGAACCACACCTAGTCTGCAGTTAAATATAGAACTTTACTTTCTGGAACTACTGCTCCTCTTAACCTTCAGAGCATAAATATTCGGAGAGATATTTAAAAAAAAAAAAAAAATAGAAAGGAGAGAGGGAGAAAGAAACTTGAATCTATTGTCCGAAATCTAAGCCTAGCGACTCATAAACTACCCTGGGAGAATTTCCAAAAAAGCAGTAAAGACTGGAGAATCAAATTACAGAAACCACAAGCAGCATTCTGGACATCCAGTATAAACCAATTAGTTTCTTTAATACACATACTCTGCATACAGACACTTATGTACAGTAGACACTTAAGTATACGTGCTGGCCCTAACTCTAATCTTAATTATATCGGGTTGGCTCCAATAGAATAATTAATTGTACTGGAATTTTTGTGGATTTAAGTCTTTTTAAAAAAGAGGAACTAGCCCTTCAACCTTCACCCTTCTCCTTCAGTTTATGGGCCAAATTTTGACCGGTGCTGTGCATTTTCAGTTGGAGAGCCTGCTCCTAGAAGCAAATCTAATTTTTGCAATCAAATTAAGATTCTTTCCTTAAAGTGCTCTCAGCTGGTCTCACACATGGACCTTTAGTGACTGCATTTCATACCAACTGAATCCATGTCAAAAGCACGTACCACAATTAACTGATAGAGCAGCCCAAGACTTTGATCCTCACCCAAAAAATGTTTATACAGCTTCACAGTGATGTTTTAGAAGTTTATAGGAAGAATTAGTTCCGTATTACCTACACAAGTTTCCATTAAGGTCTAGATTCAACCCTCTTATCTTCAGGCATTTAACTAAATTACCAAAGTTAGGTCTAATTGCAGAAGGTTCCTCTTTTGTAGCCAGAGAGGAAGCTGCATTTAGCCCCCATATGAATTGCATTAGCGGGATGGAATTGTCTTCTGGATCTCTATTTCTCATTGCTGAATAGCTAGAAGCCTAGATGAACAAGCACTTTACTGAGGCTCCCAAATAAGCTCAAAAGTAGGTGCCTAAACCTCTACACGGACCAACAGCACATCGAGATGCTGCAGGACAAACACACACGAAAATTAAGGAAAATAGTCCATTAAACTGAGTAAGATGCCTCCACTCACAGTCAAAACTTAAACCTTCAGAGGAAAATGCAAATTACCAGATAAACAGCACTGGACACACAATGCCGAACACCACTTTAGAGGGCCAAATGCTTATTCCTGACCCTGCGGCATCAAGTGAACCTGATCTGCTTGGGCCAGACAGCCAGGAGTCTGGTTACCTTCATCCTGGCTGCTGTTATGAGTCAACACTATGGACCAACCTGGAAGACTCTGGTGACTTGTAAGTGAAATTAGTTAGCTTCTTCCTAGGGCTCTCAGGAGAGCTATTTCCTCCTGCTCTTTCAAAACTTGTCACATAAACCAGCACATCCTTACAGCTCAACTAGGCCTATTAAAGTATAGCAGTTAAACAACCATATTCCCAACTTGCTTTATGGTGTAGCTTTATTGTCATACAAAGCCTTTACCATGGCTCGAGTTTACTGTCTTCTTGCCTCAAGTAAAACTCCTCAGCCACACTTTCCAGTACCCACACACCAGGCTGCGAAATTCAGTGCTTGCGAAGACGCCGCAAGAGCTTTATAAACTTAATATTAAAGTCAGGATTAAGGCAATGTGGCAGAAGTCTTCACTTAATAGCAGAATATGAAGAAAACCCCGGCAGCAAAGGCTTTACAGAGCACAAGACAAGACACTGCAAACACAACCAAGAATGACAAAGAAGAAAGAGGGCAATGACAAATCAGATCAAGTGATTAGGTACCTGCATACACAACAGGACTATTTCCAATGTCAACACCGACTTGCCTCTTTCCACATACAAAACCAAATCTCACGTCTTTCCAACAGACACATACCAAACCATTACAGGTTGTCTGACTTCTTGAGTGTCACAGCAGATACTGGCTTTAGGAGAGATCCGAAGGAGGAAAAGCAGTGCTTGCATGCTTAGCTTTTTCCTTCTGCTCTGTGCTTCCACAGCACCCACCACAAAGGAATCTAAGGCACTACCATGATTCAAACAGCAAACAATAGCAGTTATCGCACTTTAGGCCACATAGAAACCAAGAAGGAAAACACTCATGCCCAAAGAGCTCTAATTCTACTTTAGAGCAACTGAATATTTCACACATAGAAGTTTAATGAGGAGGTGGTATTGTCCTGAAGGTACACTAAGCTGTGGCTTTTTTGTCATGCTACATACTGCAATCAGGACAGTCATACGAGCATTTTAAAGGGCTAAAGACCCTACACTGCACATTGTACTGCCTGTGTGGAGGGGGACACTAGAAAAACACAGTCCTCTGTACTATCAGATTTCAGGACTTTGCATTAGGTGGGTCTAGCAAAGCAGAACAGATTTCAAACATTTACATTCTTTCCTTTGGGGAAATATCCAGCCAAACCTGAAAACATCAGTGCAGTGCCAGGACAGAACATGGAAACAAACACTTAGTTACTGGTCTCAGCCCTGCAAAGACCCTGCAATGGCCTGTGGCTGCACAGATGTCTATCTTGTGTGTAAAAAGGCTCAGGTCCCTGAGGGAGCTCAGTGTTTTGGTCTTAGCTTAGGTAAAAGGAGACACTCTCCTGCTCTTAATCAGTTCCAAAGACCCTTGTGCAAGCAAGAGGAAAGAGAAGCATTAGAGAAAGGGCAAAAGCACATCCTAAAAATCTGCTGGCCAAGGACTCAAGAGATGCAAACCAGAGAGGAGTGTAGTACAGAGAGTCATCTGGTGCTTTCATGGAAACGAGGTTCCTCACGCTCTCGGAGGGAAGAAAACTCCTCCCAGCCATTTAGCCCTTAACAGAAACAAGCATTCATCCCTAAACTACGTTTGAGTTCACTAGCCCTTTTCTATTATACAATATTATCCACAAAAGAGACATTACTGTAAGCAGAGGGAAAGGCAAAGCACATAGGCAGCCAGGAGACCAGGCTCAGAGAGTGCTTCCTCTCTGCAAGACTGAAGAGCTGGGAGCTCTAATGATCACCTGCCACTCTGCATATGTATTTGAAAGATCTACTTTGCTCTGTACTGTTCCCAGCTCACGTAAAAGGGTTGTAAGAGCCTTTTTGGACAAGGAACCTACTGCTTGTTAGGCAAAGATCTGCATCCTGAACAATTACAGTGCTGCTGAAATGCCAGTATCAACTATAAAATAACATGATACAAATGAGTAAATAAATCAGTAAATTGGGAAAGGAGAAATGCAGAATGTAAAGACCGTGCAGACCCCCACAAAGACAGAGCCTGGATTAGGCTACACAGAAAGGTTTCTGCAAAGGAAGAGCTGAACACCAATACTCTCAGACTGTGCTAAGGATAAGATGTCTTAGGGTCTACAAAAAATGAGATATTGTCCAGGAGTATAACATGTTTTTAAATAACAAAAGGAGTGAAATAGCTCTTCCTACTCTATCATTGAGAATCAAACGATTACACTGTTGTTTACTTGCATGATGCTAAAGCATATCCATGAAAACAAAGCTGGTGCTCACCAGAGCAGGAAAAAGGATACTTGTATTGGCTTTGTAATTCCCATCTCCGTAACCCAAACATGACATACCTTTCCATAACAGCCAGGCACTCCTTTCTCCACGTGAACCGACTGCCTCGCCGTAGTCTGAAGGTCCCAGAGGTAGCTGTGACTGGGGGAGGCGTCTGTCTCCATTCTGGCTCTTCTATTGGGATAGGAGCAGGTCTCATGCTTAATGTAGCCCCTAAGAATAATAAATACTGTGTTTCCTAGTGGATTAAAAATCATGCCCATTTTCTCACTCCTGCTTATGAAAAAAAGACAAGACAGATGATGAAACCATTCAAACTAAAAAAGTAAAGCATTATCAAACAAGGACAGCTGAAAGATACACAAAGTCAGCTAGTTCCCATTCCCAACCTCCAAGCCAGAGAGGTATCAGGTGACCACAGAAATCTAAGGGAGACATAACTGAGCTGACAGCCACTTAGAAAAAGCTGTCTTGTCTTCATCAAGAGGAATAATATCTTACAGAAAGGGTGAGCTATGCCCCAGCCCGAATTTACTTAGTTTGTGCTGCTACCTCTTCTGCCACAAACGGGAAATAGCAGGTTTCTATTTAATGGTACAGCGGTCTCAGGAAGCAAAATGTAAATTTATACCAAAGGTATTTCAACGTGTTCAAGAGCTGAGTAAACACTTGAAATAGCTCCACCGATAGAAACACACCCTGTAACCTGAGCAAACATGGGCTCCGGAGTGCCAGGGTGCCTGAAAAAGTCACTGAAAGCAGATTAACGTCACATCTTTCCTCTTCTGTCCCCCTTCTACAGATGTATTTCTCCTTTCAAGAAGCCTAAGCTGGAAAGCATCAAGCAAGAGACAGGACTTGGCACAATGCCTTCAGGAAAGGCCCTTTGAAACTTACCCCTGATTCTTTCTACAACAGCCTCTCAGTTAATAAATCAAGATAAATCAAGACATACTGGGAGACTGATCTTTCGTATATCCCTTGGTGAGGTGGGAACCTGGTATAGGACATTAGGATGTAAACCAGAGTATATTCTGAAGGACAGCTTTGTTCTCAGTGACTTGCCCCTGAGAGAAGAAATAGCTGTTCTTGTGTGCAAAAAATTAAAAAAAAAAAAACAAACAACAGTCTTATGAAAAGATAAATCACCACCTATATCCCATATGCATACTGAGCTCAACTGGAATTTGTGCACTGAAACAGGCTGGATAGAGCCAAGAGAAGCAGGCAGCTCTGGGCACAGGAAGAACACAGCATTGTGCACACGTAAAGACAGGGCTGAGACAGCAAATCCCTCTGCATACACAGACTTGGTCAGAATGGTTAGGATTTAATCCTAAAAACATACTGTGTTAGTGAAACAACACTGCTTGTTTAATTTAAAACAGAGTAAAAGTGTTAAGGGAACTTAAAGAGTTTAACCAATAAACAAATTTCTACAGTTAAAAAGCAAGAAATTAGCTATTTATGCATTTGGCTGCGTTCATTTCAGAAATGCACAATGAGTATTCTCCTTACTGCCAAGGGCTTGCAAATGTGTGAGGTAGTGGAGCCCAAAATAATTTAAAAATTTTACCCAGGAGAAGTCTATAGGAAGCAAAGCCTGCAGTCTCTGCCTTGCATGCACAACGGACGGTGACTCTTACCAATTCCCAGCTAATGAGCCTACACAGATTACTTAAGTTTTATTGACAGATGAAATATTTCCTATATTGCCAATTTATTGGGAGGCCATTTCAAGGAAAGTTCCTTATCTACTCTTTGCAGTGCTCACACAGTTTAGCGGTCTGGGTCATTATCGAGTTGTTAGGCTTTAAACACACTTCAAAAACTAAAAAACTTCTAGAAAAAATTAAAAAGAGGCAAGGGAAAACAAGACAAGAAATTAGCCTTCCCTGCACTGTCTTAGCAATATACTTTCTTTACCTGAGGATTTCATTTCACAGGGAGAAAACTGGAATGTCAGTGATGCCTAACATCAAGGTATGATGTTAGATGATGAGATGCAGAGTACATCCATTAAATTTGCCTGAGATTTTTCAGACAAAGGTTAAAAAAAAATAAATAAATCTGTATTTAAAGCATAAATTTGCTCCTGCTACTGATATGTTCATTTACTGAACACAAGATGCTTTTTTGTTTTAGTAGCCTTGCTAGATCAATTTACCTATTGCTCTTTTCTACGAGGTAACATCAATATCAGCAGCAGATAAGCCAGAGGTATGCTGAGAATCACAAGCAAGTACTCACCACTGGTTTGGCACACACATCAAGAAGGAGGCATCTGAACGCATACAGAGGCCCCAAATGCACTTGGATGTATGAGTGGCAAAAGTGGTGGACATACACACTGCTGCCACATTTGGTAAGGTAACTATGGAGCTTTTCTTCATCCCCCTCAATGAAGTGTGCACTTGGGGATCCCATTTATTCTGCTGTTCCAAGGCTTCATCCCAATCCTCTCGCCAACCAGCTCCACTTCTTCACAACTTAGTAAGTTACATCCTAGTTAATAGGTTGGATTCTTTTCACAAACCCATCAAACAGCTTTTAAGAAGAAGTGTCTCTCTTGAGCAGAATGAACGAAGCAATTGCGGTATGAGATTTTCATCTTGGTATACGCATCAAAAAGCAAGACATCTACAAGGGGTATAGAGGTGAACTGCCTGGGAAGAAGTGCTCTTGCAGAAAAAAATAGAAAGTGACATCTCTCACTGCCTGCCAGTGCTGAGCACCTTTTGCAACAATACACAACTTTGTGCAAACCAGCATTTTCTCATATGCAGGGTAGGACTTTGGGGATGCTGCAGGTGGGTTTTGGGGAGAGGAGGCAAAAGTGGTGCTCTCCAACTGGAACGCAGCTCTATCTCTATACTCAAAATTCCTCAATGGCAAAGGCCTCCCTTCTCTCAGCACATCCCAGACACTATCCTGAAGACAGAGTGTTGCTCTTAAAAGCATCACATGCAATTGCTGATCCACATCACATGTCTCGGAGAGGCTCTGTCATACAGGGGCGATGCGCAGAATGGTCGGAGCAAGCCTCGGGCCATCTCCCAGCTCCAAGGAACCATTTACTGGCAAGCCTTTGCAGCAAGTACCTATCGTATATTATACTGATAAGAACAGATGTCACATTATATTTTTAGCCAGGCTGACCCGAGATCACATAATAAAAACCTTTCAGTTACTCCTGAGCCAGGCTAGATTTGAATCAGCAGCCCGCACAGCAAAAGGTTCCCTACAGAGCTCAGTGGTTGGATGGAAAGGATCAGAGCAGGGACTATTTTCTCTGCAGCTCTGTAAAACAGTAAATCACCAACAATACATTTCCAGTGCAAATCTCCTGGGATATCCAGCCCCTGATTTTTTTTTTTTTGTAAGCTTTTCTTTTATAGCTAAACAAGAACTGCTATGGGAATAACACAAGAGATGCCACATCTTGATAATAACTGCCTTTCCTTTTCCCTTTTGTTCAAGGGGGAAGAGCACACGATTTTCTCCAAGGTGACCACAGCTGCCTTCCTATTACAGAAGACTGGTAGAAATAAATATCCAGCCTAAATGGAAGCAGTCTGTATCCATCTGTAACTTCAACACATCATTTCTAGGTGCCAGCTTCAGTTTGCAGTACGCAGAGGTGAAAGACATGCTGAAGTTACTCCATAACAAACTTTCCACATTGCCCAAGACTCAGTGCCAGCAAAACTAATCAGGCTAACAACTACCAATGTAAAAAGAAATACTTATTTATTTAAAACCCATGGGCTCTGGGGAAAAAAAAAAAAACCAAAAACAAAACCAAAAAACCTCGGTACATTATAGGACTCTATGGACTCATATACTGGCTTCTGAAACGTATACTATTTATCTACTGCCAAAATGCTCTCAGTCCTATACAAAACACAAGAGATGTGGTGCTCGTCCAAAAAAAAAGCCCGATCTAAATGAAAAGCATCCCTATTAATTGGATTAAAGACTTTTCAAAGACTAGCATTTAGCACTGACTTCTTCCCTTCAACAAAAAACTGCCTTTCACCCTACTTGGCAACTGTTTCCAGGAAAAATTTACAATCACTAGTCCACTGGAATTCACAGCATTGCTATTAACTCTGGCATCACTCCTACCAGGAAAACTTTGATCAAGAAATTTTTGAGCAAGATTATTGCATACAGTAGGAAAACTGTTTTGTTTTTTTTTTGTTGTGATCCATGAGACTTAAGTCTCTTTTGCAACGTTCCAGCCTGCTGTTGCCTGAACACTCGCCACCAATGAGAGGAGAAATATAGATAGCACCCATGCAAATAAGCAATCAAAACCAAGCGAACAACAAAGAGGGTACTCCAGAGGCCAAAGCAAGCTGGTAAATAATGAATGTGATGGAATTCCTGAGTCTCTTTTGTCTAGGAACAACATTTAGCAACGTCTCAAAACTGCCATAAGAACACTGAGTTCTTTGGTTACCAGATGCAGGACTGCTTGTGGACAATTTGAAGTATTATACAGCACCATTATACGTTTAAAAAAAAAATAAAAACAACTAACCTCTTTTGATGAATTTATAAGTCATCTTTTTTTCCCTATATTATTAGAAACTCCTGGCTAGGTGCAGTATAGAAGCAAAGTAAAAGACAGTCCCCGCTGCGAGGACCTTACAGGCAAGGCAGGGAACTCCTACGCAATAAAATGGTCTCATCTTTATCTAGGAGACGGGAAAGTGAGGTACAAAGGTGAAATCATTTGCTAAGAGTCATACAGAAAAACTGGCAGAGCCAAGGAAAGGCTACAGGTTTGCCAAGCGATCTTCAATTCTTTCCTTATGAAACAACTATTCTTTCTTCGCAGTTCATAAATTGATTGTATCTGGTGTCCTACTCCTTCAAAACTGTTTCAATTTTAAGTGGAAGTTTTCCTTCCGTTACTACTCCAACAAATTCAGTCAGAAAATGGAATTACTCTGAAGACCCAGTTTTCCAAAATAAGGAATTAAAGAAATGGGGGCACTAAAAGTTTCCGAAGACCGCACTTTGCCCATGGGTAACTCAAACACGTAGGTGTTTCTGCACAGAGAGACCTGACTCCATCACTCAAAGGAGAAGGACTGAGATTTTATTCCCAGCAGCTGGAATTGGAAACATGGGATATATGAGAATAGAAAGCCAAACATTACTTCCTAGCAAGTGAGTGAATAGAAAAAAACACATGCCAGTGATTTAATCTCTTAAATTTCTTCAAAGGAGGACAATCTTTTACACTCTGTAGAACAGCATCGCTGCTTTGTGAACATGGCAGGAGGCTCTGCTGATATCCTCTTTTTCTGACTTTAAGGAAGGCAGCAGAACGGCTCGTTGAGTCTACTAATCACAGGATACTGTAAGCAGTACCCAAAACTCCAAGCTGTTTTCATAATAGTTATTTCAATCCAAGATGCTCCGGACAAGGTTGGTACCTTCCTTAATACGCTGTATACACTTGCATATATGCACGTTAATTATCTCTTGGCTCATCAGTCTGACCTGCAATATAGTTAATGGCAAGAATTCAAAGTAGCAGAGTATCCTACAATAAATACGACACAATCATCTTCCTCAAGTAGACTTTTCCAACAGGTACAGGAAAACTGAGGGTTCTCCCTTTTATCTCAGCCTCTAAAAAGAAACCAAACATTATTTGGTTCTAAAGGGAATTTCAGTGCATTCAAACAGTCTCTTGGCAGAGGCAGAGGAGCCATTTTGCCTTTTACACTTCGTGAAAATGCTGTATAAGATGTCTTGTTTGAAAAAAGGTTAAACTCAAACAACCACTCTTCAAGAAAGTTTTCTGTGTGCGTGTAAAGAAAAGTGAAAACGACCTCAGCACGACAGCGCGTCAGAAAAGTAGAGGTTAACATCGATTCATTTCAATTTAAGCCGTAACCTTCGGCGTTGCTAGTCTGCCTTCCTTAGACACTTCTCAAGAGCCAAAGGACAAACAAGACGTGAGCTTGTGGATATGGGGAAAGAAGGAAGGTTAAGAGGAAGAAGTGAAGATTTTAGCACTAAGTTTCACAAGGCTGCTTTTATCCCAGCACAGAATGTTACTTCTTGAAGAACTCCAAACGATGTTGGAAAGAAAAGACGCAAGGCTATAGGAAAGATCCACACAACAGTTTTCGTCACTAGGAGAGGACTATTGTTTTTTTTTTCCAAAATACACCTTCCAGTTCTCTCCACTGTTTTGGAGGCAGTACCTTGCATCAAAGGGAAATACCTAAGAGTTACTTTGTAGGGTACAACTTGAGGCTTTCAAAGCAGCTGATACTGAACGGTTATATCCTTAGCATCACAATTCCAGCCACTGCAAAAATCAAGGCTTCTCAGTGATCCCTGCAGGTTGTCAGCACCTCACAATCCTTGGCACTTTCAGTCTTTAAAGCAATTTTCAAGATGCTTAACAGAAAGGACGGGCTTGGCTATGGCTTTGAACCCACCCAACTTTAAGCTGATTTTCAGCTTACACACAAAGAAGTTTTGAAGATTTCTTTTCAATGGCGTTTTTCTTAATAAAATTCTAGATATTGAAGCCAAGTTCACATTAGAGAGCCTGAGTCTTAAATTCCTTAAAACAATTACATAGTTAATTTAATCATGCCATTGTTTAAAGGAAATTAAACATAATATTTTGATCTTTACAATAAAACCTCTAAAGGGAAAAGTAAGAACTGTGGTCAAACAATATCTATGGAGAAGAACAATGCAAGGAAATTAATTGAACTGTGATTTTGAAGATTGCTGGTTAGTTAAAGACAATGAGGAGCTTTACTTCTCTTTTTATATTTAAGATCTGTTTTGAGATTTGGAGAAGCAGGTGGGATTTGAAAGACATCTCCAACTTATCACTCTAACTATCAACATCCCATCCAGGAGCTTGAGATCCAACCCGAAACCCTCTGAAGTTATCTCAAAGTTCCTCTCTGCCAAAACGTGGTGTTTTTTTCCTGCAACTTTGTATTATGCAGCCATTATTAATGCTTTCTATTTCTTCATTCTTAGGAGTCTCAGCCTATATTTTCACATTAGCTGACTACAGCCTCATTGACTGCTTCTGATTCCCGGGGTTAGCTAGCAGTGAGAAGACAGGGCAAATAACGGTGACCGAGGAGCTGGACAGACAGCTACGGATGAGTCAGCTCTGGATCATTTGCTGCAAAGTAAAGCACAGATTTGTTCCTACCCTCCCAAAAGGTAAACTGGTCAGAGGGAATACCTCTTCAGTACATCAGACCAAGAAATGAATGATCAGTCATAGTAAAAACCAGTGACAAAAGGCTTATTTTCCATAAATAAAACAGTGGGAAATGTTTAGGCTGTATTTGTTTACCAGGATTTGTCTTCTCAAGCTGGTACCATCTGTAAAATGCCCTTTTCTTTTGTTCACTCAGGTCCGACCCCTGCTGCAACAGCCAATGGGAGATCCGGCTCTGACTGATACCTGTGGAAAAAAAAAAAACAGAACAAAACAAAAAAAAAAGAGAAAGAGGAAGAGAAAACTCGTTCTTTTTAAAATATTCTGAAGTGGTTTATTTACTGATAAAAAGCGTTGTCTTTCAAAGCCCAGGACCTCATAATGTTTCAATCACAGAAAAAGTAGAGAGCTCAAGCTTCACCACCCCTCTCTAACTGCTCTAACTTCTCCCTGTTATTATTTTCAAACTTACTCGAGGTATAAGCTGGAATCGGCACAATCAACCTGCAAGCGAAGAGGGTACAAACTGGGAAGCCAAATCTACCACTGACTTGAATTGGCCACAGCTTCCCTGATTCTTAAATTTCTTCATCTGTGAAATGGGTACAAGTCCCTTTACCCACTATTATACGTAAATAAAGATAGTTAGGAGATCATTATCATTCAATGCTTAAATAAGAAGGGAGATAAACAGAGAAACAGTTTATGTGCTATAGATCAAACCAGCCCAGGAATGGAACAAGCCAACTATCTGCAGCTATAACGATGACCAGAAAACGAAATAGAAAGGGCAGCTGTCTCTCAGCAAAGCAAGATTCAAGCTGTAGGTATCCAGACAAGATTAAGGGACAAAAAGTTCCAGAGTTTTTAAGACTTCTAAGAAAACACTAAAAGGGAAAAAAACCCCTAAAAGTTAATACAGTTATTTCCAAAGCATAACAATGAATGAAGGATCAATGCAGAAAGGGAAAATAAGTGATTAGAAGGAGAGGAACCAAATAAAGCAAGATGTTTATAAGTGCATTAGGAGGTGAACTGTAGGTTTGTCTGAAAATATCAAAAAAACACAATTTGCTGAATAATTGAAGCAGTACTTCAGGTAGGAGGACTCCCTGTTGCCTTCCACAAAGCCCTTCAGCTATCAGAAAGGGTTAACAACATCTCAACTCTCCTGAGAACTAAAGTTTTAGGAGGTGCTCCAAGTAACAATATACTGGTGAACACCACCTGTGCCACCACCTGCTTAGTGATAATACTGAGGATGGGAGGAGGCTGGTTTTCACATGGAAACCAAACTACCTCTCCTCTCTGGAGATGCATCAAATTTTGTAAGATCTCATAATCATATTTAACTGACGAAAAACAATCCCCTGTAGCTTCACCATTTCTAATACAGGGGTTTTACGATGCTTTTTTTTTTTTCCCCCTATGTTGAACATAGAAGCTAGTTAACTTTAGAATTACTAAACTTGACTCTCAGGTATCACATTCAGGTGGGTTTACTCCAATCAGATTTTTAAAATCATGGCGTTTATACTTTTAACTGTTCTTCCTTATACAGAATCCCAGAGCCTATGAAGTTTTAACTGTCCTGAGGAAAAGGGATAGGTGCGTTTTGTTTCTGTTATTCAACAGAGCTCTGCCCACAAAACATACCCTCGTTTGGTTTTGTTTCCCATACATCTACAGATATTCTTAACACCCGTTTCCAGAGCCTGCCTTTGGCCCACAACTGAAAGAGTTCAGAAACAGCTGGGGCACTCAAGAGTTGACTATCCCCAGGACCCGTATTGGAATATATAATTGTGTTTATGCTACTAGGGAAGTGGAATTATCCAACCAAAACACAAGCCTTAGTAGATTTTGCCAATTTAAATCAAGTAACTGTGGAAGCACACAAATTAATACTAAAAGAAGTCAATATAAGCCGAGAAAACTCTCCAGCGCAAAACAAGGCTTCAGTTCAACTGACATCATACAATCTAGACACCCAATTGTCAATGAAAAGACCAAGTTTCGAAAATTTGCAGCTTCCCATCTAGTATTATGATTTATAAAAGTAATTTCTTTAACACAGGGCTTCGGGACACAAAAGTTTGTGTCTCACTGCTTTTGGCTGCATGGCTCCTATTAATCAATGGGTAACAGCACCATCAATTTACTTGTTTACTACAGTCCACTTACACTTATTGCAGTGAATTAGTGTTTGTTGAGTGTTTGGATAACAATGTAAGATATAAATGCAAAGCATTATTAGATAAAAATTATAAAGAGAGATTAAGCATCTTCAGCAAGAGTCGTATAGTGGAAAATCCAAATTCTGCTCAAGAGGCTGCCTGATACTGTCATAAAGTGGTACAGATGTTAGCCACTTCAGACAATGTGCTCGAGACAAAGCAACGGAGCTGGAGCCAAAAGATTCAAGCTGTGTATTGCCATGTCCACCTCTGACTCATTGCGAGTCCTCACAGTCTATAAAGTCACTTCTGCAAAACGGAGCTTTGTAAAGGACAGTGAGATGTACAGATTCAACAAATGCACTATAAATTCTCAGCACATTATTGTTTGACTATAGTATCTCATGAATGGCACTGCAGTCCGTAGCATTTTTTGCATTAGCAAAAAGCCCACAGCTCGTGTAGCTCCTTGGCAAGCAGACTTCTATAGAATGCCACAAACCCAAATAACGTATCAGGCATGGCTTCGGCAGCTGAACTTGCTTTTGGTCATCGGAATATAGTAGATGACCTCTAGAAGACACTTTACATCTAATTTCCTATCATTCTTTTGGTTTTTTATTATCATTTCTTGTTGTTTCAGAGATCAAAGGTAAGAGCTGAGCTTCTTAAAGGTTTCCTCTACCTATACCTCTCCTGATCTTTTTAGTTTTAAGATATAAATTATCTTTCATCTGTGTATCAACTCCATTTAGAGGGTACAAAGCCATATACTCCAACAGCCTGATTCAAGGTTACACGCAAAGTCAGTAGTGGAAGAACTGATCCAGGACCTCTTAGATCCCAGTATAGTGTCTTAATCACAAACCCATCCTTCGTTCCTTTCAATTAAAAAAAACCCCACAAATTATCATGTCAGATTTTCTTGCATCTCAAGTGGGTTTTATACACTTGACTTATAGGGACAATGACTAGTACCACCACCAGTACCATCCTGTCACATTGTCTGCGATCATGCTACTTCAGGAAATTGCACTGGCAGGAAAAAAAAGAAATCATCCTGCTGCCAGAAACAGATTAATGAAATAAGTTCTCCAGAGTACTGAAAATCCAGCTGTCTTGAGGAAATTCACTCTCAAACTGAATCACGGACCTCAAGGAAGACTGCCATCCTCTGGGCTCGGCATCAGCAGGCACACAAACACACTGTAATGAGCACGACTAGTTTGCTCACAGAGAATACTGAAGAAATAAGGGGTAATCACAAAGGATTACAGCAATTCAAATGTTGACTTCTTGTGTCACATGTCACTCCTTCCCATAGCAGGTTACACTTCCTAATTATAAACACGACGGAGACGACAGTACACGGACACTCTTCTGGCCAGCCCCACTCTCTCCTACATAAATTATCTGGGGAAAAAGCTTCCCTTTCCAATACATAAAAGAAAGGGCAAAATGCACCATCAAGAGAAGGAAACTGGTATCTGCAGTACAAATCTGCTCATAACTCTCAAAACTGCTATTCATCAAGTCTTTGGTAACCGGTTTTCACCTTCACAGATAGATTTGTTCAGTGACTCTACTTTGCATTTCTTTCATGTTTCTTTCAGGAGAGATTTTTAGAAGCACCTGGAATACATCAGATTTGGAGAAGAAAGTAACTGACTGTTTTAATTCTTCAGTTTGTAAGCAATGTCCTAGATTCACATAATACGTGCTTGCAAAGGACAGCTATCAATTTAGGAGATTAGCAAAGCTTGTTTACAGAAAACCTGCAAAGATCAAAATCATAGAAAAAACAAATCTTTCCCTGCATTGTCATGAGTATCAAAAAAAAAAAGTTTTTAAAAATCCAGTTTCTTGCCATTTCAGATGATGAGTAATTCAGTAATTTTCTGAATTCTCATTACAACGGAACCAGCTAAGTTTCACTTCATTTGTATTTGCATTTGCTCAGCATCCCTGTGTGTAGGTTCGAAACCTTAAGGGATTTTATTTATGTTACAGCAGTGCTTCAAGGCTGCCCTCCACCGTGCTAGATGCTGTGTGTGTTTAGCATAATATAAAGCTAAGTCCTGAAGATCTCACATCAGTTAAGACAGAGACAGTAGGACAGGGCTGAACTGTACAAGCAGAATAATTGGGAAGGTTAGCAGAATCGCACACTGGAAAGCTCTATTTTTAAATGTTTTTGGGTTGTTTTTTTTTTTTTTTTAAATAAGAGCTCTGCATTTTATTGCTGTTGCCTTTTTTTTTTTTTAAATGATGGTTCGATTTTTATGGTACTTAGCCTAAGAATTGAGAAAGCAGAACTTAAATTCCTGCTCTGCCACAGACTGCTTTCACTGCGACCTCAGGAAAGTAAGTTGCTTTTGTTCCTTCACTCCCTATGTGTAAAAAATGGAAAAGGCAATATTTCCAAACCTCACAGAGGCATCATCCATCAAAGCATTTAGCCTGGCTGCAAAAGGCACATCCCTGTATAATCCTTCCTCTCTCCTTTACTGTAGTACATAACAGAAAGATGTTAGTTTCTGAAAACGTTTCCTCCACCCTCCATCTAGATTTGAAAGCTTAAGAGACAGCATCTCTTCATAAGTTTACATTTATCTCTTTATCCTTTGCCTACTGACCATAACTTACTTGGTATCCAGATACAATTCTGGTGGCAATTAAAGCAAATTGCTGCACACAACTTCAAATTATTGTTGATCAAAATTTGGCACCTCACCTGCCACATGTAGGGCTAAATACCTACCACTGAGTAAGCTGCAGCTATGTTAAAAGGAGCTTCAAATAACAAGATAGGAAATCCAGCAGGAACTATTATTAGCTCCTGTTTATACTGTCATTTTTCTTATCAGTAGGAGATTATTTATACAGAGCCCAACCCAAGTGCTTCTTGTTTATCTTAGTACAGACACCATTAGAAAAGTTTCTATAAAAAGCAGCTCCTGTATTTAGGACCAGCACTAATAAGTGTTATGCTAGGTTTTTGTTTCTTATCAATCATTCCTTTACTTTCAAGCCACCATTTAATACTCCATTACTACTTTCCAATCCGCC